ACGGTTCCGACACAGAACGATTGGGGGGTTACCCGGTAGGTGCGGCCATCGAGGTAGGACGATTAGAAGGGAGATAGCAGAGCCTGTGACACCAAGTTCCTGAAGGGAGGAAATAAGGATCTGGTGGTTGACCGTGTCAAATGCAGCAGAGAGGTCCAGAAGGATGAGGACAGAGGAGAGAGAGGCGGCTCTAGCAGTGTGGAGTTGCTCAGAGACAGCAAGGAGAGCAGTCTCTGTGGAGTGGCCTGCCTTGAAACCTGACTGGTGGGGGTCAAGGAGGTTGTTACAGTGGAGATAAGAGGAGAGTTGATTAAAGATAGCACGTTCAAGGGTTTTGGACAAAAAGGGAAGAAGAGAGACCGGTCTGTAGTTGTTTTCTTCAGATGGGTTGAGGGTGGGTTTCTTCAGGAGAGGGTTGACTCTTGCCTCCTTCAGAGAATTGGGAAAACAGCCAGATGACAGAGCGTTGTTGATGAGAAAGGTAAGGAACGGAAGAAGGTCAGGTGCGATAGATTGTAGAAGATGTGATGGAATGGGGTCAAGAGGGCAGGTGGTCGGACGGGCAGAGGTTACTAGGGTAAGAATTTGGTTAGGAGAGAGGGCGGTGAAAGAGGGAAGTGAGGGCGAAAGAGGTGAGGTCGGTGGGACGCGAGAAGTAGGAGGTGGGTTTGAGAAGGAGGAGCGTATGTCAGCTATTTTCTTGGTGAAGTAGTTGACAAAGTCTCCCGGAAGAAGGGGGGAGGGGGGAGGAGGGGTAGGGGGTTCGAGGAGATTGGAGAAGATCGAGAAGAGTTTTTTGGGGTTAGAGAATGAGGATTCGATTTTGGATTGGTAGAAAGAGCTTTTGGCAGCAGAGATAGAAGCAGAGAACGAGGAGAGGAGAGATTGAAATTCAAGCAGGTCGTCAGGTCGTTTATATTTACGCCATCTCCTTTCCGACGCTCGCATGGTGGCTCTCATGGCACGGACCGGTTGAGACAGCCACGGAGCCGGAGGGGATTTGCCAGTCCGTCGTGTCGTAAGAGGGCAGAGAGAGTCTAGAGAGGAGGAAAGAGTTGAGAGGAGAGTCTCTGCAGCAGCGTTCGGATGCAAGAGTGAGAAGGAGTCAGTTGAAGGGAGAGCTGATAGAACAGAGGATGCCAGCGAGGAGGGAGAGAGGGAGCGAATATTGCGACGAGCCGGTATAGAGTTAGTCAATGAGGGAGGTTTGTTAGTTATAGAGAGTGGAAGGGAGTAAGAGATGAAAAAGTGATCAGACACATGAAGTGGAGTTACAGAGAGGTTAGTGGTAGAGCAGTTTCTAGTAAAGATGTAGTCAAGGTGATTGCCGGCTTTGTGAGTAGGAGGAGAGGGACTGAGTGACAGAGCGAAGGAAGAAAGTAGGTGTAAGAGGTCAGATGACTTCTCTGTCTGGATGTTGAAGTCACCCAGGAGGATGAGCGGAGGTCCATTTTCGGGGAAATTAGACAGGAGAATGTCCAGTTCTTCCAAGAAATGACCTAAGGAGCCTGGCGGACGGTAGAGGACAATGATGGTTAATTGTACCGGGTGAGTGATTGTTACAGCATGGAATTCAAAGGACAATGGGGTGGATGGTGGTAGAGGGTAGAGAGAAAAGCTCCATTTGGGTGAAATGAGTAGACCTGTGCCACCACCCCTACCAGTGGGCCTGGGAGTGTGGCTGAAGGAGAAGGCGGAGGAGAGAGCGGCTGGGGTGGATGTGTTCTCAGGTGTGATCCAGGTCTCGGTGAGAGCGAGGAAGTCGAGTGACTGCTGGATCGCGAAGCCGGAGATGAAGTCAGCCTTGCGAGTCGCTGACTGGCAGTTCCAGAGACCTCCTGTGACGAGGTGCTGGGACATGTGTGGAGCGGGTGGGATAGGTGAGAGAGGAGAGGTTACGATAGAGAGCAGATCTAGCCCGAGGCCTGTAGTATCTGTGGGAAGAGATTCGAACAGGCACGGGTGAAGGGGTCAAACACATTATTAAAAATAGCAGAAGAAGGCGCCGCATTCAGCCGCCCCGAAGACTGCCACGAAAGACTCCCTTGTCTTTGTTCTGCTCGTCTTGACTCCACGAAAGACTCCCTTGTCTTTGTTCTGCTCGTCTTGACTCCACGAAAGACTCCCTTGTCTTTGGTCTGCTCGTCTTGACTCCACGAAAGACTCCCTTGTCTTTGTTCTGCTCGTCTTCGTGCTGCGAGGATAAGCTAACGCTTCCCACGATTTCTATTTAAATACTCCCTCGTTAGTGGAAGTCGGCTGCAGCCGCTCCCCCGTCGTTTAGGAGACAAAAGGTCGATTGGCCTCGACAGAAACTCCTCAAAATGCAAAGCACCAATAGCTTGACACCCTAATCAGTGAACAATCACCATGTGGTGTTTTGACAAAATGAGAGTTTGAGGATACAAGTCTTATTTGCTTCAGAAAACAAGGCAAAACAGACTTAGATCAGGTCAAAACCTAGCAGAGTTAGGAGGGCACACTGGCAGTTAACTTAATAGTAGAATCTAGAACACAAACTGGCACTAAAAGACTGAAAGAGCTTGAGCAAACTAGCAACCAAGATAACTTCAAACAAAGAGAACTGGTCGTGAGACGACAAAAACTAAAGCAAATCAGCAATCAAATTGACTTAAGACACTAGAATCAACAGCAAATTTAGCAGACTAGCTTGGTTTAAAGAAAGAGATACTTAGTCCGATTTCAGGTCGCCTGGATGTCTGGTGGCCTTGTAGAAGAGATGCACACTGACTAGTTCAGGTCTGGGAAGGTTCGGGTCCTTAGTCTAGTGTTTTACTCGACCACAAGTGATTTGAAAAGTTTGAAATTAATATAAAAATATGTATGATGCGGCACATTAGTTATGTGAAACATTCATTGATGAAGCGCAAACAATTTAAACAAACAGATTAGTTAATCGGTTGATCCATACTGGTTGTACACGGCGCTCAGCCAAACATGCCAAAGCTCGGTCTATCACGGCGAGATGCTGAGCGGGCACTCAAGCACGTGAGAAAATACATTTTTAATCGGTTAAATTCTTACGGTCATTTAATCATCCCTAGTTTATGTTTTGATCAGAGTTGTGATTAAAGGTTTGGGTGGGCCGCAAAATATTTTCAGATTTCAAAGTGGGATCCGGGTCCACGATGAACCTATCGATGAAGAGGCTCTTGGCCGTTTGCGTACGGCCAAGAGTCGCTGGGACCAAACCTGGGACCCAATTTCCGGGAGGTGACACTGCGGAGGAGGACCTTGAGGTGGCTGCCCAGATTCGGCGGCAACGCCGGACCATGGCATGGACGGACGGGACGACGACCTCTTTCTCGGCCTCCTGAAACACGGGTGGTTGGTAGCCAAAGACACACTGGAAGGGAGTCAGCCCAGTGGCCACTGTGGGGAGAGTATTGTGGGCATATTCGACCCAGGTCAGGTGTTTGCTCCAGGACGACGGGTTCTGGGCTATATTATTCTCCTGATCCCTGGATGGCAGGTAAGCTTTTAGGTGTGAGTCCAGTGAATCACCTGTGGGCGCATAGCAACCGGAACAAACAGGCGATTAACTGGACAACCACCAGGTGTAGGGTTCTCACCATTAGCACGCTTCACCTCTGATTTTATCTGCCACGTTACCGCTCCTACCACACGGTGCATTGGCAGGATTGGCTCAGGTTTCTTGGCTGTGGGCTTGGGGTCAAACAGACGAGACAGGGCATCCGGCTTGGTGTTCTGGGACCCCGGTCTGTAGGACAAAACAAAGTCAAAGAGGTTAAAGAACAGAGTCCATCTGGCGTGGCGAGAATTGAAACGCTTAGACTTGTGAATATACTCGAGGTTCTTGTGGTCAATCCAGACAATAAACGGGTGTTGAGCCCCCTCTAACCAATGTCTCCTCTCTTCTAGTGCCAACTTTACCGCAAGCAACTCACGGTTACCAACATCATAGTTCCGCATCGCGGCTGAAAGTTTCCTGGACAGGAAGGCACATAGATGTAGTTTGTGGTCCTTTGCAGGCCACTGAGACAGGACCGCCCCCACACCGTTGTTAGAGGCATCCACCTCCACCACAAACTGTCGACTCTGGTCTGGAACTGTGCAAATGGGGGCCGTGGTAAACTTCTCCTTGAGCTGGGTGAAAGACTCCTCAGCTTGGGGAGACCATAGGAATAGAGCTTAAGGAGAGTTTACCCTCCTCTACAGCCCTGCCCTTAAGTAACCTCCAGGTGCCCACAGTACTACCCAATTAGTGGTCCAATAAACCAAACTATGCATACTTGTTGACAAAAAATGATTAAACTAAATTGAACACAAAACAGAAAAAGCTATCTTAATACTATATCAACCTAAGAAAACCAAACAATAATATTTAAGAATAAATAACTAAATAATAGCTCCCACAACTATATTAGTATCCTCTTTAGTTGTAAATTTGATTAATTTCCTTGATCATCACTAAAGTCAAAGGTCACTTTACAGTACAGTTTACAGTAGACTGTAATGTTCTTAATAGAGAAGCAACCAAGAGGCCCATGGTAACTCTGGAGGCGCTGCAAAAATCCACAGATGAGGAGAGAAAATTCGTCCACAGGACATCTATTAGCCGTAAACTCCACAAATCTGGCCTTTATGACAGAGTGGCAAGAAGAAAACTGCTGTTGAAAGTAAACCAGATGAGACCAAAACTGGCATATCTCAATGCAAAATGTTCAAGATAGTTATTGTCATGGTGTACAGTTTAACAGGTTATTCTGTACAATGATATTCTTATTTTACTATGCCCTCCTTCCACAGAGCTACAGATGTATAATCAAAAACAAAAAATAGAGTAAAAAGAAATATATACACACTATAAGAGCACAATGTATAAATGTCTGTTAGTCTCTTCTGGGTGGTGGAAACCCAACACTGCCCTCATCCTGAGCACCCCATTCCAACAGGGAAATACGGTGGTGATAGCATCATGCTGAGGGGAAGCTTCTCCTCAGAATTGAGGCAAAGATGGATGGAGCCAAATAGAGGGCAATACCAGCAAAATCGAATGCAGTCTGTAAAAGACTTGAGACTGGGGCGGAGGTTCATCTTCCAGCAGGACAATGACCCTAAACATACAGCCAGAGCTACAATGGAATGGTTTACATCAAAGAATGTTAATGTTTTAAATGGCCCAGTCAAAGCCCAGAACACAATGTGATTTAGAATCTATAGCAATTATATTAAATTGCTTTCACAGACGGTTTTCATCCAAACTGAGCTTCAGATTTTTTTCCATGAATGGATGAACATTTCCATTTGTAGATGTGCAAAGCTGGTGGAGTCGTACCTCAAATGACTTGTAGCTGTAATTGCAGCGAAAGGGAGTTCTACCTAAAATTGACTAAGGGGGTGAATACTTATGCTTAAAACAGATGTCAACTTTTTTATTCTCATTATTGTCAAAATAAAAAGTATTTTGCACCTTCAAAGTACCATGCATGGTGTGTTGATAAAATGGGGAAAAGTCTATTTGTGTTTGAAACAGTACAAGAATGGGAACAAGTCCAAGGGTGTGAATACCTGCACAACGCACTGTATATAGTAGACAACTTATCATTATCATTCATTGGATGAAGCAGTGTACATAGTCTTATCTCTTCTGACTTCTGTGCATTCATGAAGCTGCCCTAAAATGTGGCTTTGAGGTGGAAATAGAAGGTACGCAATCAGTGATAGCTTAAGGTGGACTGTTTTCAGAATAGTAACAAATCTGACGCCAATTTAACTTAAGCTATTTTCTTTGGAACTCAGCCTTTGACCAACATTAGACCTTATCATTCTTTGACCTCTTCGGTTTAATTCATTCAATTCAGAATTACTGATGAAGGTTAGTTATTCTTAATGTTTGATAGAAATAAACCAAAAATCTCTATCGTTTAATTTTCATTTTGTATTAAATTGTGGTCAACAAATAATTCATCTTCCTTGAAGGTATGTTTGGTTCTTAAATTAAATAAATATAACACAATTTATACAAAAACGTTAGCCTAAATGAACCATAAACATCACATGAAAAAACTAGCATTAAATAAATCTGTATTAACCTAGAGAAACAACAAAAACAGTTAAATATAATTAAAATATTTAAAGACGTATACTGTCACCTACTGGTAGAGTTTTGAACACGTTTACTCTTAAAATGTCTCTGCTCCGTTCACAGAAGAAACAGCTCAAAACGTGGAAAAATTAAATATCTGTGGCAACAGCAACGGGACCTGCAACCACAAACGACTTTGAACTAAATTAAACCATTTGATTGACATGCATCAAACAGAGCACCGTTTAATGAGTATTGCTGTGTACACGGATGAATGAAAATAAATATATGTGGAGTCAACCACTGTTTCTAACACACTATTTGGCTCGTATTATTTAAATATACCTATTAATTAACCTTTATTCTAATGTTAATGTGGTGTACGCTTGCATCAAAGACGAATTTCTACAATACAAACTTTCTATTGTGTTGACTTACTGTGAAAGCTGCCAATCAAATCTCTACCAAGGATAGCTGTGTGTGATGGGCCAATCCGCAACGTAATATCCCACATTGTGGGCGGGTCATTATTCAAATTCAACCAATCAATGGCTTCGTCCAGTAATGAATAAGAGAGCCTTTAAAGACGATAATGGGGCTCACATGGGTTTCCTATTCGCTGTTTTACTCTTCGTGCAATGAGACTGTATACGACTCTAGATTACGGATTAGATAGAATAAAGATGTAACGTTAGGCCATCAGGGTGGTGTCTATGTTTCCGCCCCTCTTTCGCGTCTCCAAAAGCTGGAACAAGTTGGACATTGGCAGAAGAGACAATACCGGAAATTGGTGTTTATTTGTATTTGAAATAAGAGCACCACATGTCTCAGCTACACATAAAGACATAAGAAAACACAACTGTATATCCTGCAAATCTGTTTCCACTAAGCCGTTTACTACTCAAAAATATAGGCCAATTAATTAGGTACTCCGTATTAAGAAAGAGACGTTCTTTGTCCGTTTTATTTAGAACCGGATGTGACCGTAGGTGTCACTGGCGAACCTTGTATAGCGTTAAAGCTCTGCTGGACTGCTCCCTCGTAAAACCATTATCACCATCATCTAGCGAACTGGACAGGTTGGATCTCATTGTCCTTAGAGACACACAAATAGGTATGTAAATAGTGTTTTAGTATTGGTAAAAGCGGAATGTTAGTCTGACCAAAATGCTCAGATATTGTGCTCAGCAGCTGTCAATGTGAACTGCGTTGTTAGGCCTGTCTGTGGAAGGTTAATGGTAGCTCGTAGCCGTGTTTCTAAGCAGCTAACGGCGGCTACCCACTGCGAGTAAATAATAAGCTATCGCTATGACTATCGGCTGGACCTAATAAATATATACCAAACATGCTAACATGCTACATACTAGTTGTGAATGTGAGCTGCTTGTGTATTTGTCGTTGAGGCGTTATCCCGATGAGCGGGTTGACGTGCTAGCGTAGCAACGGTCACAGCCGTTGCTAACTTTGCTAGTTAATGGCGCTCATATATCTTGCCAGTCGTATAAGACGATATTTCGTGACCACTCATAGTCAGAGCAAACTGAGAATAGCATTGATGATTAAACACAGAGCCATATGACCCTCACTGCTGCGGTCCTTCTGACCTATTTATCTGACTAAGTAACGTTTAAGTTTTGGTATTGAAGAAATCCACTATCGCCAATAATGTGAACGATTTTAGGGCTCACTTATTGTCCAAGCAAAACATTACCAGATGATGTACGACAAATGTAATTTTATTTCAATAACTGTTTTCTAGTTGAGTACCTTTGGGGAAACCCACCCCCAAGTGGCCACCATGGGGGACGATAGCGAGTGGATGAAGCTTCCCATCGATCAGAAATGTGAACACAAGGTGACTGAATAATATTACCTTCAATCTAATCCACTTAATTGATATGTCTTTTCAGGCAACGTATGATCCAAAATGGGTTTCATATCCCGCCCATTTAGTAATAGCTCCTTCTCACTAGATGGTATTCACTGAGGCTTATCCTCCCACAACTAAATATCTTTAACACTATCAATTTGCCGAGACACTAACTACCACACATGCAGAAAAGTGAGATGGAGGACGACTGTATTGTGACATTGCCAGGAACTCGGCCAGCCTGGCCAATAGTACACCACCAATTCTGATTGAAGGGCGATGCTGTGAGCACCACTGAGACTCAGTTGCCCAATCCTCGCGTCCTAACCCTAATACTCAAGGTTAATGCCCAATCCTACAGTCAAACCAGCTACAAAATATACAAGGTACAATTTTTAACCGCACCGCCTCAAATGTGCTAATTTCTCTGCTTCATTGCAGCCCAACCTTACGGATGGTTCTTCCCATATTGCCAACATTTTTTTTTTTCAACCTATCATCTCCATAACTTAAATTCAGTGTCATGAGCTCAGAAACTCCTTTTAACTTTCACCTGAGCGAACAAAAAAAGGGGAAATGGAAAATATTTTTATGTAACAGTTTAAGAATCTAGGTCAGAGCCCCTCGTTACATATTCGCAGACACGTTTGCTTGGCTGTGCTTCTTTCTGCTTTTTAGAAAGATTATCCTATTTATGCTCATCGGATTTAGCCTTTTGAAAATCCTGTCTGCTGTTAACTTTATTCCTCCTTTCTCTCCACCTTATCAACGTGACTCTTCTTCAGGTGTGGAAAGCTCGTCTGAGTGGTTATGAAGAAGCACTGAAGTTGTTCCAAAGGATACAAGATGAGAAAAGTCCAGAGTGGGGGAAGTACCTTGGACTGATAAAGAAGTTTGTTACTGACTCAAATGCTGTGGCTCAGCTTAAAGGCCTGGAGGCCGCCTTGGTCTTTATTGAGAATGCTCATGTAGCTGCCAAGTAAGTAATATTTTTAACAGCAGTGGTGTAATGGACCACGGTTGATCAGTGATGGGAACAAATCTAAATAATAACAGTTTACCCTCAACATCTGTTTAACAAAGCTAGCTAGCTCTATGCTTATAATACATCCATTGACTAGATTTGTCTTAATCCATAACAATAAAATCTTCTAGTCTCTCAGTGTTTCCCCTACCATTATGTTGTGATGTTTGAACCACTTCAGAGTGGTAAAAATAAAGAGACAGCAGCCTTATCCGCCTGGATCCTTGTAGACCAACTGCTACAATCAAGCAACCATATGGATCAACAATGATCTGCAATTAGTATTGGTGGCAAAAAGAACGTATTGTCTGCTTTTATGCTGTTAAAGTTTGCGGATGTACTTTTAGATTAATGTGAAAACTCTGGTCATAGCAAGTATAATGATTGCACACCAATAACGTGTAAAGATTCAAGAATGATTTATTGTTATTATGCAGCAAAAGGATACACCACAAAATGCAGTTATAGCCCACGGCAATGTAGGCCAGGTAGTGCAGCAGCCTCAGGTCCTAGCTGGGTTAGCTTAGCTTCCACATCTTCTCTCTGGGGCACTTTGCAGAGTTTGGTCCAGCATGTGGGCGGTGATCATCTCAAAGTCTGCTATACTTAATTCTATAGCCATACTTCCTTTTCAGGTGTTGATGAATGTCTTTAAATAGTATTAGTGCACCAGTATTGGGATAAAGTAATAAAAATAAAGAGGAACATTTAGTGAGATTCAGGGGAGCAACTGGTACAATATTTATGTGAAAGTGAATTTGAATCCAGATATTGTATACATGTTCCGAGAATGAGTTTATTAATGACTGAATGCTATGTTACAGGACGACGGGGGAGGTAGTGTCGGGCGTGGTGACTAAAGTGTTCAACCAGCCAAAGGCCCGCGCCAAGGAACTGGGCACAGACATTTGTCTGATGTACATGGAGATAGAGAAGGCGGAGGTGGTTCAAGAAGAGCTCCTCAAAGGACTGGAGAACAAGAACCCCAAGATAGTGGTGGCCTGCCTCGAGACCCTCAGAAAGGCCCTCAGGTCAGTCTTACTCCATGTACATGGATTGTAGATTATGGTACACGGTGATGCCTTCTTGATTCTTGTTGTTCTGGCCTTTCGGCAATTGTAACTCGCTTTGAATAAAAGCCTAAACTGAATGTAGATGTATACATTTGTTGCAGACATGGTGTCTGTCGGCTGGTGCATCCACGCACGCATGTCTGTATGTGCACATGTCAGAATATGCGCGCACGTGTCTGAAGAACTGTTGTGCGTAGCGAGGAGTGGACAATTGTAGACGTGAAAATACAATTCTAGACTTTCTTGAGGTGTTGCTGCTGCTTTACCCCGTTACTGATAGACCAGGATGGGGGCCCTCCAGATGTGTGGCCATGATCGACGTACTGCCGTGTTCGTATGGCTTTCTTTGTAAATAATGCAGACATACCGGAATGATTCTGCCTACCGCCCTTACCCGTTTGTTTCTGCCCAGCTTTTTGAATCTTAAAAGCCCCTTCTTATGACCTAGCTGTTTTTTTGGCCTCCATGATAAAAAGTGTAATTACGCTGGAACTACTTTGTTTATCTGGACAATTTTTTCTGTAGGATAATGGGGGGGGCGTCCTTATAGTCAGTCAATGACGTGTTGTATAAGTGGTCATATTTACGGATTTCTTCCGACAAAAGCTCTTCAATCTGATTCATTCTCTCGCAAAAAAATCAATTTTAATAATGGTGGTATTATGCCATAAAACTGGAAATCTGAGACTCCGGAAAGGCTGTAGTTAGCAGACCAATCGGAGCCTTGCGGGCTGCAGGAGGCTTGCGTAGCTTTTGATGCTGTGATCTTCGCGATAAAACATCTTTGTGTCGAGTCTTTGCCAATCAGCGTTGAGATCTCTATATACTCTTCATTTCGCCGCCATCTATGATCTCAATCAGATCAGTTTAGACTTTTGGTCAGAACATTCAAAAGAATATTTATAAAAGCTTGAGGGTTCATCCAAATATGTGAATGTGGTTTGGCAGCCAAAATGGTTTGCTGCAATGTTTAATGTCTCAGCCTAATTTGTATGATCGATTAATCTCCGGGGCATGTCGCTGCCCGCCCCCCCCCACCTTGTTGTCACCTTTTCACCCTTTATGTATGATCATTCCATGTCTGTTTCAAAGTATGTTTTACTCAATTTTAACAGGTTCTAACACCACCTCAAAGAGTACTGGTAATTATGTGTACTATGACCAGTACAACCAGTGTTTACCCCCCAAGAAAGTATGTAATTTAAAAAAGAAACTATATATTTTCTACTACAATTATCCACTTCTTAATCTCCCTGACACGTGCACGCATACACAACCATGTGCGCCTCAACTTCGTTGACTGGTCCGTTCGCCCCACAGGGTTGTAAACCTAGCAGAAACACTGCTAACCATTTGTCCTCTTCTTCTAGTGAGTTTGGTTCGAAGATCGTGACGTTGAAACCAATAGTGAAGATTTTGTGCAAGCAGTTTGAGTCCAGAGAGAAGGCGGTGAGAGACGAAGTCAAGCTGCTCGCGGTAGAGATCTACAAATGGATCAGAGACGCTCTGAGACCACCACTGCAAAATATTAACTCTGTACAGGTGGGGCACACTTACGCAAATACATGCCAATCTTTTACTGTTCTGCCTGGGAAATAAAGTTGAGCTAAACAAGGATTGTCTGCCTGTACTTGCAGTTGAAGGAGCTGGAGGAGGAGTGGGTGAAGCTGCCTTCTTCTCCTCCCAAACAGACCAGGTTCCTGCGCTCTCAGCAAGACTTGAAGGCCAAGTTTGAACAGCACCAAGCTCATGGAGAACAGTCTGATGGTAGGCCTCAAAAGGTTTCTGCATGCGAATGTTGCTTTGATGTTGATGAGTTGTTGAGTGATGTCTGGTGCCAACTATGGTTTTCCTCCTCTTTCAGGAGAGGATGAAGAGGAAACGGTGGTTGCAGTGGATCCTTATGAACTGCTTGAAGCTGTGGAGATTCTCTCAAAGATACCCAAAGACTTCTATGACAAAATAGTATGATGATTCAAAACTCTTCATGCTTGAAGTCTGTTAACTCATGTTTCAATATGTCCAATCGCTCCGTCCGTTACTGCAGGAAGCTAAAAAGTGGCAGGAAAGGAGAGAAGCTGTAGAGGCTGTGGAGGCGCTGACCAAGAATCCCAAACTAGAGAATGGAGACTATGGAGACCTTGTCAGAGCTTTGAAGAAGGTAAAGACTGAATGTTTTTCGTGTGGTCAGTGAGGCCATCTCACCTCATCTGGAATTAAGTGAAATAGAAGTGACTAGGCACACAATCTACACTAGGGGTGGCGCGGCCGGTACAGGGTTGCATTTTATGTTGCGTTACTCGCGGAAGTATGAAGGTGGGATTGTTTGTTTGTGTTTTTGCTTCATTGATGCTGGACGTGGATCTTTTTCTTTTTCCAAGTGTCGTTCTGTACTAATTAGGGCTGGGTGGTATACCGGTTGAAATGGTATACCGATATAAGATATCCTTACGGTATGAATTGTTCACAGTTTATGCCGGTGTTACGCCATAACTACTGACGCTTCTCTGCGGCCGGCGGCAGAATTCTTTTTACACTTCATCGCGGAGTGCGCAGCGGTTGGAGCTACTTGTCTTACGTGTGTTGAGATTGAGTTATGGTTCTAACTAGGGCTGAAATAGTCAACTGATTAATCAGTTGATTATTTCTTTGATTAATCGTTGAATTGGATCATAAAAATGCATTATAAATCTTTATTTTCCAACCCTGTATTACAAAACAGAACTGCAAATTTGCAAAAAAATACAGGTTGCTCCTTGAACATAATAATCATTTATAAGAAAAATACAAATCAGAAAATTTAACTGGATTTTTTTTAACATCCCAACTTGTTCAACTCAATACTATAAATACAAGACAACAGATTGAAAAATGAATGGTCCAAAAAAGGCGAGTAAATTAAAAACGTGTCCTAGTCTTGCTAACTGCTTTACTGCTTTTATTAGTGAGCTAAAGCTAGCTCGTTGCCTGTTGGAGGCTCCTTACCTTCCTCATGTCAAAACGGGACAAGGTGGTGCTCACGTGCTATGTTACGTTGACTTTGCATTTTTGGCCATTGACACACTTTTTTAGTTTAGTATGAAATGCTCGCACACCATAACTCAACGTCTTTGCCTGCGTCGTGTGACTCCCAACTGCCGGTGCTGCTGGCTGCTCTTTCCTCTACGTCGGCTCGGCCTTTTATAATCGATTTCCTTGATGCGTTGCTGCCCCAGTTATATCTTTATAACAACAATGAATAACTCACAAACGCTCTTTAACAGGGTAAAGCACCACAACACAACAGCTTGTGACACATAAACAACTTAACACACATAGTTGTACATTTATGAAATTACCTCACCAAACTGCATGGTGGGTAAAGCTAACAAGAAGTAACTTTCATGCTACATTAAAACATAGAAAAGAGCGATACAGAAGGAACACAGAGACCAGAGATGCACCAATACAACTTGTGCCCAAGAGAGGAGCTGTGTCGTAAGTTAGATCAGAAAACTATTTTTTGCAAAGTTGGTTGAGCCGCTGGTATTTTCTCTGGTGGCAACACTAGCAGCCACAACAAGCTAACTCAGTTGGCCATTTGCGAGTAAGTTGGCCAGAGAGCGGCGAGGTGCGGTCCTTTTTCGGCATTAATGTGTTTACTTGAAGAAACTATATTCCGCAATACCGTCCAATTTTTTTTTTCTAAATACCATGATATGAATTTTTGGCCATACCGCACAGCCCTAGTACTAATATCGGGTGTCATGGAACTTCGGGTGAACAGCTTTTGACTTCAATATTTTCTCCTCCATTTTATGATTCAGTGAAGCTGACTGCGTCACGCATATTGTGACTATTAGGCAACCGCGATTCTGTGGCAACGCGTTGTAATGATGACTCTGGATGTATTCTCGATGTGCAATGATTTAGTGTCACATTTTTACACTGCTGTGAACACAGAATAGAGACACGAGCAGTGGGGACATTGTACGCTTACTTGCTTAATGTTCCAGGTTGTGGGCAAAGACGCCAATGTGATGCTGGTGTCGGCGGCAGCAAAATGTCTTGCTGCACTGGCCTCTGGTCTCAGGAAGAAGTTTGGAACGTATGCAGGACAAGTAAGTATCTCTTTACACTAATGAGTCTTTTTTTTTTTTTTTTTTTTGAAATGTCCATGACAAAAGTTTGTATTAGCACCTGAAAGGTTGGCGTATACTCTACAACAGCAAAGTATTGCTGTTTTCATTCATCACAGAACATTGCTTTAAATCGCTTAAAGGCATTTTCACATTGTTTTTGTTTAAATGTGGAGGTTTAGTTAAAGGTTTTTTTCATGTATCAAATCAATGGACTCATGTGCTGATTCATGTGTGGGAATTAATGGGTGTAGTCAGAATTATAAATTTACCAACTACATGGCAATTTAAGATTTGCCATTCGTGATTTGCTATTCATGCTACCATGTGTTTCCACCACATTGTTCATATGAAAGGACCGATGATAGTTCTATTTCCTGTTTCTAAATCATTGATAACTGCTAAATTAGATCTCCTGTTTTTTTTTGTTGCTTTCTTTAGGTGGTTCCAACTATTCTGGAGAAGTTCAAGGAAAAGAAGCCTCAAGTGGTCCAGGCCCTGCAGGAGGCTATTGATGCCATCTTTCTCACTGTAAGTCCTCCTTGATTAAACTATTTAGTGTAATGACAATAACTATGTAATAACAATGGAGGAGTTACTGTGACTGAAGCAGTCTGTAGCCCTTGAATTTCTACCTACCACTCACCGCATGTTACACAAGCCTAATTGGGCTCTGATCTTTGAACTGATCGATGTACAACTCCCAGTTGACTGTAAACAGTCAAAGCTATGCTGACCATAACATTAAGACCAGCAACAATAATTCCTTAACGTGAATACATTTGGCCATCAAATCTTAAGCAGCAGAACTTATAACATCATTAAATCGACAGACAAGATTACAGCAGTAAAATAAAATCACAATCAAACATGAATCGCTACACAATGATAGTGGACTCAGTGATGATAGTGGATCACAGTGATCAGTGATACAATACTACCACTAATTAATATGAACAATAAAGCTCATATAAACACACTGACTTTAATCTGCCCCGAAAAGCACCCTCTTACTTTTCGGTGGGTCCGTCAGTTTTTCAGATGCATTCTCGAATTCGGCGATCAGCTGTTTCAAGCTGGAAAGATGCCTTTCAGCTGATTCCCTAATGTAAATGTGCTGGATTGTATTTTGATGTGCCAAATCTAAGATTGCATCCTTTTTTTTCCCAGACCACTCTTCAGAACCTGTCGGAGGATATTTTGGGTGTGATGGACAATAAGAACCCTTCCATTAAGCAGCAGGCCGCTCTGTTCCTGGCCCGCTCCTTCAGACACTGCACACAGGGCACCCTGCCCAAAAGTGTCCTCAAACCGCTCTGTGCTGCTCTCATCAAGGTAACGCAGAGGACTCACTACTTTTTCTTACTACTTTTCTTACTACTACTTAAAAAGAAAGGGTCTGTTCATAGCTGCATTAAAATTGGAGCAATGACAGAACAGTTAGCTCACACATGATGTTTGTTTACAATGCTAGAGAGTAAGAGACGTGAGTATTAACTCTTTTTACATCGCCTGTTTCCTCCGTCTCTGTGTCCCTCTCGTCTTTCGACTGATAGCTTCAAATGTCCACTTGACAGTTTCCCGATTTCAGCCAGTTCAGCGTGTTTTATAAATGTTGCTGAAAAAGTTAGCTGCACAAACTAGGTTACGTTAGTTAGTGTATTTATTAATTAAATTGTACATTTTTAATTCTAAATTTGAATCTTGTAACTGGTATAATTCATGTATGCATTTTGTGTAAAATCCACTAGGGCTGCAACAACGAATCGATAAAATCGATTATTAAAAGCGTTGGCAACGAATTCCATTATCGATTCGTTGTGTCGCGCGATTATTACGTCACTCAATGAGTTGCGGAGATGCGCGCGGAGCAAAAAGAAAAATAAAGGCGCCGAGCCGACGTAGAGGAAAGAGCAGCCGGCAGTTGTTGTGAGTAACATGATGCAGGGAGAGACGCGTGACGCGTGTTCTATTTGTTGTGTTTTATTAAACTTAACATCATCCTATTGCCAAGATGGCACAGGCTTTATGCCCAGGTATCGCTTAAGCCTAGTTTATGCTTCTGCGTTTTCAGAGCGACACAGACGCAAGCCCCCCTTGCGTGTCTCTTGCGTCGCTTTTCACACCTCCTTGCGTGTGTCGAGCCATTTTTCTAGGCTTGCGTTGCTTTCGACGCAAGCCTCCCGCAGCGCGCCAGGCTGCGATTGGTCCGCTAACTACGTCCTTTATGGAGTCTCACATTTCCGCTTTCATAGCCCGATACCGCCATTATTAAAACGAAGAATGTTTACGAGAGAACGGATCAGATTTAAGAACTTTTGTCGGAAGAAATGCGTAAATATGACCGCTTCTACAAGCCGTCATTGGCGGGTTGTAGAAGCTGGTTGGATTCACGGAGGGAGATTGCCGCAAATGCCGGTTTGCCGGTCGAGAGGTGCACAAAGTTGTGGAAGAAAATACGGGACAAATGTGCCCGCGATAAAAAACAGCAGTGGCGATGCACGGGGCAATAAAGTCTATGATAAATAAACAAACAAATAAATAAATAGACGTGACTCTCTAGGTCGTCTTCAACAAAACACGTTACTCCGCCTGTTGTTCTGGCGGTGAATTGCTCTGCAACACACGCAGAACCATGAATTGAAACGAGTGTAGCATGCGCCGGCCTTAAATCTCACTTTTTTTTAAATTGTCGCCTCAGCAAATCTGCCTATTAATTATGCTGCGTACCGCCACCCACAGGCAGAGGGGAGTATTGAGCCTTCATACCACCAACAGCGCGACAACACACACTTTTTTTTTTTTTTTTCACCAATGAAGTGACCGTATGTAAAAAATGATTTTTTTTTCACGGCACACCTGACAGCCTCTCGCGGCACACTGGTTGAAAAAGACTGCTCTAATGCATTTATTTACAAATGCCATTTTAAATTCATCTCATAGCACTTGGTTGTTTTCTAGCTGTATGCATTTACTTAACTTGCACTACAATGATGGTAATAATTTAATGAATATGCTTCAAGTGAACATGAGGGTGTGTTTGAGTGTAGTATAGAGAACTAGTTATGACGAATTTGAGGTTCTGTTTTAGAATAAAGGGTTGGAAATTAAAGTTTTTTTTTTTTTAATCCGATTAATTGATTATCAATATAATCGTTAGTTGCGGCCCTAAAATCCACCATTACACCATTACATGTTTCCTGTTGTGCACCCCACTTTGGGAATACCTGCTCTACAGGAGTAACTTGTGCCATCATTGACATAGTTGTGTGTAACCGGAGATGACTTCCGGCTGTTCATCGAGAAAGATGTAAAGACCCGTGGCTCTCATTTCAAAGGCATCCCTTTGCTTTTCCCTCTGACCATTTCAGCAAGTGAATGACTCTGCTCCAGAGGTGCGTGACGCCGCCTTTGAGGCTTTGGGGACAGCCATGAAAGTGGTGGGAGAGAAAGCCGTGAACCCTTTCCTGTCTGATTTGGATAAACTCAAACTGGACAAGGTAATAACCAGCAAAATAATGGGTAATAAATTCAGACCAGGAGAAGCATCACTATAGCTACCATGATCTGTTTACCTATTCAATATGTCAACAGATAAAAGAGTCTGCTGATAAAGTAGAGCTTCCTGGAGGGAAGAAGGCTGCGGCAGGAGGTGGGGGGGCAAAGAAGGCTCCAGCTAAAACTCTTCCCCCTGCTGAAGCTCCACCTAAATCTTCTGGCCCACCCAAGAAGACTCAAACTGGTGCTGCAAGCAAGGTATGCTCAGTGGGATGCACATATAGAGAAGTAAACTGATGAAGAAATGTCATTGTGGCCAATAACCTGATTGCATTGAGTGTGTACAGTTGTACTATAAGAGCATTGTGGGGGTCGTCGTGGCGCAGGGGGTAGAGCGGGTGTCTGGGAACCGCAAGGTCGGTGGTTTGAGTCCCGGCAGCAAGACACCTAACTCCTAATTGCTCCCCGGGCAAAAATGTAAAAGTCATCGGTTTAAAGTGTAATGTAAACGTCATTACACGTTTACATTACACGGTTTAAAGTGTAATGTAAACGTCAAAAGCATCAGCTAAATGACCTGTAATGTAATTGTGTCTCCTTTGTGCAGTCATCGGCGGCGTCCAAGAAGTGCAAACCAACCGCTGTAGCTGGTGGAAAGACTAAGAAGAGCCCTGACAGTAAAGAGTTCACTGAGGGGGAACTCTCGGTGAGTCCCTGTGCATGAGTTTTCCCCCTTCTTGGAGCTTTTGTCTGGGCCGCACAGTTCTTCAAAAGTCTTCAACCTTCTTTTTGATATTCAACGTCTACATTTTTTTTTTTTTTTTAAGCGATGCCGTTAATTCAATGCCGTATTGTTCGCTGTCCCCTTCCGCTCTGAATGCCAAGATGGTTTGAAGTACAAATCAGAGTGTTGTGGCTTTTTTGAATCTTGTTCAAACATCAGCTACATTACGATTTCTGGTTCCTCTTAGATTTGAGGATTCTTTTTAGTGGTTCAAAGCAGGAAATAACGCTGATAATGATGCTCGCTGCACTGTAGCCTCTGTAGAGACCAATCGATCCTCTGCAGTCAGTGTCCCTTGATGACAAAAACAACTTTAAACTTTGTCAGTATCTTGTGGTTGAATTGACATTAATGTTTGCGTTGTCACGACAGATTGAGGTGTGTGAAGAGCGGGCTGCAGGTGTGCTTCCTGCCTCCTGTCTACAGCAGCTGGACTCAGCCAACTGGAAGGAGAGACTGGCGAGCATGGAAGAGTTCCAAAAGGTGAAGTCTTTACTTCCTTAATGACTATTTATGTCACACATTTTAGAGTTACATATGGTGACACCAAAATATCTAAATGTGTGGTGAAAATAATCATAACAATTGCATCAGACAAAGATAAAATGTGCAAATATCACTTGCTGCCGATACGAATTAAATATTATTCCTGATCCATATGGTCCGGAAGAGATCGGGTCTAGTCTAGATCCAGAACATGGTCTAACCTTTCCTTTTATCCAGTCTAGCCTAACAACGAGCTTTGCATAGCAGTGCTTTAAGTGGTCAGTTTGCCACTCACTCCCTTTCTGTTTGATACATGCAGTGTTTCCCACAGATCCAACACCTATGTGTGGGGGCTGACCGCTGAACTGGAATAATTCGTTCAATATTAATTTGGAACACAGAACTTTTTTGGAGTAAATACAAAACAGGGATTCACGCCTATACAAACGTCAAACACTCATCACTGGATAGAACTATACACAATTCACACTATATACAACTCCCATAGCTGTAGTACACATTTCACACCCTATACTACTTGTTGTTACAGCCTACATGCGCAAAACAGAACTGTCAGACGCAAGACAGATGCTGTGTGTGTGCGTGTGCGTGAGACGTGTGACTGACCGACGGAGGGAGAGCAGGGAAAGGAAATGCAGCTGGATGAATACGCTGCGTGATTTAAATGGCGTTAAAAAAAATAAAGTTAAAGTTAAAAATGTAAAATATTAAAGTTAAAAAATATTAAGCATAAAGTGCACTAGCGAACAAGTAACAAAGTGACGAGTGACGACAAAGTGATAAATTACACTTAAAGTGACTTGTGCAGTGTGAATGGGAGTGACCGGTGGAATGTTATAGTCAGACAGTGGGGGACCGGGCTCTGTTGATGAGCCCGACTGCCGACGGGAAGAAACTGTTCGTGTGGCGGGAGGTCTTAGTCCTGTTGGACCTCAGCCTCCTGCCAGATGGAAGGGGCACAAACATGGAATTTGCATGAGGAGGAGGCAGGTCCATGTACATGCCAAGTGAGATGTTTGCCGATCGGAACCGTCTCGCTCTCGGCGCTACTGTGGGAAATACTCTGAGATGGGTAGATACCAGCCACTTTATGATGACAGGGTCACTCCAGGCAGCTGCGCACACTTGAAAATGATGGTGACCCCCATATCGGCTGGACCATTGTGTATAATTTTAGTGGTCTGGCCCACTTCAGATTAAAGGGGACAGTATGTGGCCCCTTACCGGAAATGAGTTTGACACCCTGTTACAGAACAATACATGTATGCCATGAAGTGAGATTATATTGTATAATCTATAATATGAATTATGGTGGGTGACGATTGATTAGTTTTAAGAAACGTTCACATTGAATTACTTTAATTACAGTTGCTATAAACATGCAGTCCTCTCAACAAATCCTCAAACTGTGTGAATAATCAAGATTGGAAGTATGGTCGGTTTAGTGCAGTTTGATGTATTACAGCGAGTCATGTAAAGTGGTTAAAAAAAAAAAAAGTAAAATTTTGTTTAACAATTTTTTTTGCGATGGGCCATGAAAGACCGATGTGTAAAGTATAAATCAGATAGTCTGTTCCAGCTGTAATAGGCGACCAGCACAACAACGGGTAGAAGTATGAACAAGGCATATCTGTCCTGGGACTTTACAAGCACTGTAGTCAGCCCAACCCTACAATCTTGTTTGCACTTGTTGCACATAAATGAAGAGGACTTCTTTTAACATGATTGATCTGCTGTACAGGGAAACTTTGAGGGAAATGCTTCAACTCCTACTTTACTTTACATATTGAAATTTGTTGGAGCTGTGGATAAGGCTGACGAGTAACACAATAATATGCAGGAATATTCATCTCTGGATTGCTGTTTGTTTCTAGGCTGTTGAGACCTTGGATAGGACAGAGATGCCCTGCCAGGCCTTAGTGAAGATGCTGGCCAAGAAACCAGGTTGGAAGGAGACCAACTTCCAGGTAAGCTCTCAAATTCCTGAAGCCTTGTGGTGCGTTGTTGTTGTACGTTGTCAGGATCAGGAAACATTTATTTATTTATTTATTCGCAATATATGTCAGACATGTATTTGCCGTAATGTCCCCCCCTCCCCTCCTTCCAAACCTGAAATGAGTTTGACACCCGGGATTTACAGCCTCACAAAATACTGCATAGCCTCCTCCTTTTTGGTGTTATGGATATGGTCACCCTAGTGCGGATCTGTGCAGCCGACCATCAGGAACGGGTCCTCTCCGGTACTCCGGTTTCCTCCCACTGTCCAAAAACATGCTCTGGAGATTAGGTTAATTGGTGACGCTGAATTGCCCGTAGGTGTGTGGATGTGAGTGTGAATGGTTGTCTGTTAGTTAGCCCTACGATTGGCTGGCAACCAATCCAGGGTGTACCCTGTCTCTCACCCGAAGTTGGCTGGGATAGACTCCAGCCCCCCCCGCAAACCTGTATGCAGGATAAGCGGTTTGAAGATGGATGGATGGATGGATGGAATATGTCTCCTTTTAAGACCCTCTTTTTTTTTTTGTCTTTTTTTTTTTTTTTTTTTTTGAGACAGTAAGGATAGAAGCACAAACCAACGATTCCACATCCTTAAAGGACAAGAAAAGATATCTAAGAACATTATGATAATCATTTTTAACTGTAATTATCAGGCCAAAAACACAACGTAATTATTAGTTCTTCCTTTTTTGATCTGACATCCATTAGAAATTAATTTAATTTAAGCAGGGATCAAATTATTGGGAAAACTATTCATGGTCTGGCACTGCAGATTAATTAGTTCATTAGTTCACCTTCAACATTACAGATCAATGTTGACAATATGGATGATTGCTGTAATTGATCAGGGATCGGGATGTACCATTCTGATGCTGCCTGCTCTGTGTAGGTGATGCAGATAAAGCTGCACGTTGTGGCTCTCATCGCTCAGAGAGGACAGTTCTCAAAGACTTCAGCCGCTGTAGTATTGGACGGCTTGGTGGACAAGGTTGGAGATGTCAAATGTGGTGGAAACTCCAAAGAAGGATTGACTGCTATTGCAGAGGCTTGCTCTCTGCCGTGGACTGCAGAACAGGTCTGTAGAGCGCTTGTCTGTAGTAGGGATGCTATACTATGGACAGAAGAAAAGGTCATTTTCATGTTTAAGAGCCTCAATGGGCCAGTAGATGTTGATCATGATGAATGTACCATATTTACAGGTTATGTCTATAGCGTTTGCACAGAAGAACCCCAAAAACCAGGCAGAGACTCTCAACTGGTTAGCTAATGCCATGAAGGAGTTTGGCTTTGCTGGGTAATTAATACTCCTTATTTTAGTGTTAACATGTGTAAATTATGCCATCGTTTCAAAGTGTTTTGGCTCAGGAAGAAATCTGTTCTCTGCAGTATCAATGTTAAGGGTTTCATCAACAACGTGAAGACTGCTTTAGGAGCAACTAACCCTGCTGTTCGGACAGCTGCCATCGCACTGCTTGGAGTCATGTTCCTCTACATGGGAGCTCGTCTTCGGATGTTCTTTGAAGACGAGAAGCCTGCTCTCCTTGTACAAATAGATGCCGAGTTTGAGAAGGTATGGAGGAGGGATGGATGTTTCAAACAAAATGATACGCCACAGCTTTGCAGCGCTAATGTGCGTGTGCGTGTGCGTGTGTGTGTGTGTGTGTGTGTGTCACAGATGCAAGGCCAATCTCCACCAGCACCAATTAGATTCACCAAGAAGTCTGGAGAGGAGGAGGAGGGTGATGAAGGAGAGGATCAGGAAGAAGATGGGGCAGCAGCCGCACAGGACATTATGGACCTCCTGCCCAGAACCGACATCAGGTAACCAACACGCCGTTCCGTATTAAAGTGAGGAACGTAACGTGCCTCCACCAGCTCTTCTCGGCTGCTTTTTATGCATTATCCCGATTGACAAGCTAGCATTAGCGTTAGCACGACTAAAGACACGTTTTTATTGACTCCTTTCTTGGCCCATTCATTTTTCAATCGTATAAATATATTCTATGCTTTGTCCCATATTGTTGACAAATATATATGTGTGTTGTACTTTTTAAAGTAATTTTATAAAATTGCATTGGTCATCTTAAGCTGTGTTTAAATGTGGTGTATAAATGTACTTAAAATGATGGTAATTAAGCTTCAATGATCTGAGTGTAGTGTATAGAACACGTTTTTTGATTTGTATTTTACCTACTTACTTTACTTTTTTATAAAGTATTATGTTGAAGGAGCAACCTGCAACTTTATTAAATTTCTTTTCACTGTGAATTTGAAGTTCTGTTTTAGAATAAAGAGTAGGAAATGAATGCTGTTTTTTTTTTTGTTGTTTTTTTTTAATCCAATTAAAGCAAAAAATCGCTCGATTTATCAAAATAATCGTTGGTCAAAGCCCAAATTAATTTCATCACCTGGCGGTGCACACACTTTTTTCAGAAACTACTTCTGGTTGGCTGCTGCTTCCCGTGATAATTGAGCCTGACAGACCAATCGATCGTGATAAAGATCTACATTGTCTAAAATATTGTGCCTGTGTTATCTTCCTAATTTCTGTCTCGTTCCTCCCATCCCACAGTGACAAGATTACATGTGATCTGCTGTCTAAAATTGGGGATAAGAACTGGAAAATCAGGAAGGAGGGTCTGGATGAGACTGCAGCCATCATCTCAGAGGCCAAGTTCATCACAGCTAACCTCGGAGACTTGCCTCTGGCCCTAAAAGCGCGACTCTGTGACTCCAACAAGATCCTGGTTAGTAGGAGAGGACACGTCACTGTAGCACCTTAGCTATGTTTAGTGTGAAAGTTCCTAATCACATCACTACACCGACTTTTGGTCTACTTATCGACGAAGATTCAGACGGTTATTTACTTTTCATTGTAGACTTCTACTGGTGTTTCGGAGGGATTATTTTTCCATCAATCTATACGTGGTGTATAGGAAAATGATGTGTATTTGACCTGTTTTAATTTACAGTAATATCAATTTGAAATGTCAATCATGTTTGGCCTCCAGGTGCAGCAGACTCTAAGTATCCTGCAGCAGTTGTCTACAGCAATGGGACCTGGACTCAAGCAGCATGTTAAAGCTCTGGGCTTCCCTGTTATCACCGTTCTGGGAGACAGCAAGGTAAAGCACAGTGGCCATGTGGCCTTCATTGGAAAAAGACCCCAGTGAAAATGTCTGTACTAATGTATAATGAAAAGAGTAAAATACAAGGTCTGTTGCGTCCTCTTATGCTCTTTTTTTTCTCTGCAGGCTAATGTAAGGGCGGCAGCAATGACCACCCTGCAGGCCTGGGTGGAGCAGACCGGGATGAAGGAGTGGCTCGAGGGAGAAGACTTGTCAGAAGAGCTTAAAAAGGAGAATCCCTTCCTACGACAGGAGGTACACTGTGAAACACAAACTCTTTACGTGCAATGTGCGGCCGGGACAAAGGTTTGCTGTTCTCTAGTGGTTTATTTTTATTTTGGTTGTTTGTATTTGGATCCTGTTGACCGGCTGCTATCATCAAACACGTATATCTGCCATTTGTATCGGGGCAAAAAGAACATTGGTTTTTTTTTATGTGCTGATCTAAATCGTAAGTGGTTATGATCTGTTTGAACACCATTCAGGAACCAGAATTCAGATTATATTAGTCCTTTCAGGATGCCATTTTCCAGAGACGTCAGGATGCCACTTTGCACACAATGCAGATGAGACTGCTGGTCTCCCATGAACCTCTCTTGATTACCCAGGTGCTCGGCTGGTTAGCAGAGAAGCTGCCGGCCTTGAGGGCGGTGCCTGGGGACTTGATGACATGTGTCCCTCAGCTCTATTCCTGCCTCGAGGACAGAAACGGAGATGTGAGGAAGAAGGCTCAGGATGCTCTGCCTACCTTCATGATGCACCTGGGCTACGACAAGATGGACAAGGCTGCTGGGAAACTCAAAGTACTTATATTGTCTTATATAGTCAGACATATTATGCTGTGGCTAGATCTAAATACACTCATAATGGCATTGACGATTGTATCTCATTTGCCTGCAGACTGCTTCCAGAGATCAGGTGGTAGGCATGTTGGAAAAGGCTAGAGCTGTGATGCCAGCTAAACCTGCTGCCCCCGCCAAGGCTGGAGGGGGGAGGGGCTCTGCAGAGCCAAGCAGAGCTGCTTCAGGTTCGTGTCACATTCCTCATAATCATTATTCCAGTCAGAGAGATCTCAATGTTCAACTACATCTGTGCTTCTGTGTGGTGATCTTACACCTGCTGTAAACAACTGTAAAATATATGACTCAAGATATGAGTTGTAATGGTGACGTTCTCATCCCTCACCTAGTCATCCAGGCCTTGTGGTTGGCCAATGACAGTCTCCCTTTTGAGCACAGCCAGTTTACAAAGCAAAATGGGTAGAAAAAATGCACAGTGGCAATTGACGTCAAAAGTCTGCTTGGTATTGGTTTGATCACATTGTTTTCACAAACTGCAGCCTCCAGGCAGCCAGCCAGTGAGGACCTTGTGGACAGTAAACCTGAAGTCAAGAAGGTCCGAGGAGGAGCTGCCGGGAAGAAGGTAGGGCTTTCTGTTTTAAATGATTAATTAGTCCTTTCTGACACTTCCCATTGACTGCTTTGACATTTTTAGATATTATGTCACTTTTTGTAAATGTTCAGGCTAGGGCTGGGCGCTATGGCCGAATATTCATATTTTGTATGATTCTGGCAGTATATCACAGTACTTCAGTCATTAAATCTACTGTTCAGGCATGATTAGTTGACATTGTTTCATTTTTGTTGATCCGCACCATTTAATCTGATGACAGTGAAGTGTAAACATGATGTGGTTTTTCTACTCACCCAGCCTCCCTCCCCTCCAGTGGAACCTTCAAAGGACAGTAACGCTAGTAAAAAGCCCCTCAGCAAAGGGAAGGCTACTGCTAGCAGTCAACAGGTAGTCCTTCCTCAGCCTGCTGCATTGCAGACGTAGGCCCAGTTTTTCAGTGGACAGATGTTAACCCCTGTCCTGCTTCTCTTTGCCTTGACCGGTCGGCTCTAATCCTGTGTCGCTAATACTGCCAATCAACACCTAACTGTATCATCAGAAGCACATGGACACACAGCCGTCAGCTGGAATGAGATCAACATACATCTGTATTACATGTAAAAACCCACATCCACTAGTGCAGTGCACTCAGTGCATGCTTACAAAAGCACAAACCCAAGAGGAAACTTTAGTTTTCGGGTCACCCACTGCATGCTTGTGTGAGTACAGCATCACATTGGTGCAATATGTGAGATCACTTCTGCAAAACAGCCTTTGTCTCTGGTTTCTACTGTCTGCTACACACACACACACACTCTCTGTCCTCATGAAAATCTGATTACACACGCTGTAAAGAACAATTCCACAGGTGGTGCACATTAGTTAGCTTGCTGTACCTCACCTCAACACGTGGTGCTGCCTCTTCTCTCAGGTTGCAGCTGGCAAGAAGCTTGCAGTCAAAATCCAAAAGGATGACGAAGATAAGTCTGGGCCAATCTTCATCCTCGTCCCTAATTCTAAGGAGCAGAGGATCAAGGAAGAGAAACAACTCAAGGTATGGGACCATTTGATCAACATGGTGTGATCTCTGTGGAAGATCAGAGAATGGAAAGTGTCAGCTGATAGGTAGCAAGCAGAGTAAATATGAGTGCAGTGTGGTAAACTGAAACCAAACAACTCGTAATAACAAACCAACATCTATACATGATTTCATTACTGTGCTTGTTATAAACTGACTACTGTATACATGCCAGTGTATTAGGTCTACTAAGCTTACCCAGTAACTGTATTGTGTGTGTGTGTGGAGTAACAGGTGTTCCTAATAGTTTAGTTTACATGAGGGAAGGGCCTTTTTGTTTTGCATTAGTTCAAGCACGTTTTTTCCCCCCCCAAAGAATCCGGCAGTGGGGTTGATCAGCATTTGGCTACACTGCATGAGTTTGTTCTGCCCCAATGGATCAGTGAGCGGGCAAGAGATTTACCATAGACATGTAAATTATATTTGGTCTTATGAAATTGGTGTTCATTTGCATACATTTCCATTTTGGCAACATATTTGAGTCGAGGGTTTATACCGAGGGAATTTGGAATATCTTTGTATCGACAAAAATCCACCTTCACCATCTTCTTAGGAATAAAATGATTTAAATCCGACAATGAAAGATGAACAAACCCCTTTGTAAAAACCTTCAGAATATAGATAGAAATGAAAAGTAACTGAAATAAATTGCTGACATTGAGACATTGTCATCTAATAACTTTTGTTGAATTTAGGATGAATCTACTGATGGAAACAGTAACAGCTAAATGTGTATTACAGACTAGACTACTGTCAGCTGAGGTCTGACCGCACAGTGTTTATATTAGGAGTGGGGGGAAAAAAATCGATTTTTCTCTCGATTCTCTCTAGAACGATTCGGTCTCGATTCAGAAAATTTAATAATCGGAATTTAAAAAAAAAAAAAAAAAAAAAAAAGTCTGTCTCGCGCGAGATATTTGCTCGCTCGCGGATCGTGAACTTCTCGCTCGCGAGGTTAGTCTCTGCTCGCGCTCGAAGGTGTCAGTCAGTCTGAATATCTTGCCAACTTTACCGAACTATGAAGGAGCCTGCGCATATCTTACCTCATTATTTCGATTTTCCAAAAAGTCTATCCGTATTGAAAGTTGGCAAGATATTCACAGATTTGGACTTTTTTCCGGTATTTTACAAATACGGACCGGTCTAAGCGCAGCTTTTTCTTTTTTTCGTTTTAATTTATTTTTTTACATGGGCTACTTCCATATTGTGTTGAAATGCGAGCTGCATTGGTTCTTGCATTGTTGATAGAAAATCATATTTGTGACACAGATTTTTTTTTTCTCTTATAAAAAATTAGAGAAGGTAATTCATCTGTTGATTTTCCTTAATTATCAAATAAAGTAGGAACTGATTAGCAACCTCCTGAGTAGCAAACTCAGATTTGAGAAAATTTAGAATATCGAGATGCATCGATAATCGTTTTATCAGTTTAGAATCGAATCGTTGACCTCGGAATCGAATCGTGATGTGCCAAGAGATTACCACCCCTAGTTTCTATGATGTTTCATCTGTATCCCCAATGAATGTGTTTAGTGCCTAGCTGACAGCGCTCACTAGGAACCTGACATGTAAGATGTTCTGGTACATGGAAGTTCTTGTATCACAGTAGTGTTTTATTCTTTAACTTTCAATCCTCAACGTCTTGAATAGTTTAGGCAGAGAAGCTGTGCAGCTGACAAAAGGTTTCCTTTTTGTAGATTTTGAAATGGAACTTTACTACTCCCCGAGACGAATATGTGGAGCAGCTGAAAACGCAGATGTCCACTTGCTTTGCCAAGTGGCTACAGGACGAACTTTTCCACTTGGACTTCCAAAGACACGTCAGAGCTATAGGAGTCATGATTGAGGTAGTGGTTGGTCTTAATCTACAGATTTCATTAGGAGAAGCCTGATTCTGGTAATGGAGTCTGCATGTCTGTTCATGTCTGACAGAGGTTGGAAAGTGAGAGCGATGCCACCATTAGCTGCCTGGACCTGATTCTAAAGTGGTTCACCCTGCGCTTCTTTGACACAAACACCACAGTCCTGATGAAGGTGCTGGAATATCTGAAACTGTTGTTAGCCATGCTGGACAGTGAGAATTACCACCTGACGGAGTACGAGGCAAACTCCTTCATCCCCTACCTCATTCTCAAGGTGAGTACACCCCCCCCCCCCCCCCCCTCTCACGTTGATCAAAAGCACCCTAGAGGTTTCTCTGCTCCCAGTTTTATTTCTTTAGGTAGGAGAGTCAAAGGATGTGGTTTCGCAAGATGTTCGGGCCATTCTGGCCTCGATGTGTAAGGTTTACCCTGCATCTAAGGTCTTTCCTTTCCTCATGGATGGGACAAAATCCAAGAACTCCAAACAGAGAGCTGGTAAGTCTCTACAGACCGGTGAGCACAGTCTATTATAAGCCTCTTTTAATGGCAAACTATTGCGGTCCTTGAGGAGAGTAACAATGTTTCTGTGCTCCTCAGAATGTCTGGAGGAGTTGGGTTGTTTGATCGAGGGCTATGGGATGAATGTATGCCAGCCAACCGCAGCAAAGTCTCTGAAGGAGATTGCTGTGCATATAGGCGACAGAGACACGTCTGTTCGTAACGCTGCCTTGAACACTGTGGTGGCTGTCTACAATGTCTGTGGGGAACAAGTCTACAAACTTATTGGAAATGTAAGCTATACCATTATCGTAAGAATCAACCCTGAAACGCAAGATTGGCATGACTCATCCCCCCCTTATCCTGTCCAGTTATCAGAGAAAGACATGAGCATGCTAGAGGAGAGGATCAAGCGTTCAGCCAAGAAGACTACTGCATTGGCAGCGGCTCCTGCCAAGCCCACTGTGACCGAGAGGTCTCAGAGAGAGCACCCTGCTAATCCAAACGGCACCTTCCTCCGCAAGCCTGCACAAGAAGACCCCAACAAGCTCAAGTAGGTCCCCTCCAAGGCCCAACGAAGACTAGTAAAGAATACTACTCCCCACAAAACAAATGGTATTGAGGGAGAACAATAAGTATGCGTGTATGGCCGTAGAGGGGAAAAAACGTTGTAGTTGGCTCCTGTAAGAGTCTTTATATGAGCATTACTAGGTGTATCATTTTGTTTGTTCATTTAGGATGCTTTTGACTTGATAGTTGTGTGGATGGTCCTGAAAAGCTTTGTGCTTAACAGTGGCTGGATAGCCTTGAATTAGATGCACTTGTGAGCAACACGTCATAAATTATGTCCTGTTTCGTAACATTTAGTTTTAATTCAATAAAGCGTAAATTACAAAAGTTTTTTTTAATATATTTGATAACTTCAATACTGAACAGCTACATTCCAATGCCCTAGCCATACATGTAATATTGATTCATACATAATTGGTGTAAGTAGTTGAGCAGACTTCCAAAGCCTTATTAATGACCAAATCTTACAGACTGGAATACACTTCAATATTAAATAGTTGGAATAACTATTTGGAATTCTTAATTGGTAACATGAAATAAATTAAAATTTTCCCTATTCCTAGTCAGTAGTTATAACCCTGATATAAATGTGATTGTTTTAGTTTTTTGTTGTGATGATGCCCACAGAAACTGCTAATGCTTCAACAGGGAGTAAAAGAAGGATAATTATTAGGGATGGGGTAAAAGATTAACTTATTCATAGTTCAATAAACAACCAATACTGCACAGCTTCACGAACCCCTCCCCCACAGTCCATACATGACTTTACTAGTAGAGCGGAGCATACTTTTGTTTTACCGAAAACATTTATCCAGGGATTTTGTTCAGTAAACACGATTACACTTTCAGAAGACCGTAGCATGCTTCTAAATGATTGCTGTTGAAGTGTCCTGTTGGACATCCAACTGTCAATATCGTATGTGCAAAACAAATCGCTATGAAAAACCAGGAGCCTCTCATCCGACAGAAGCGAGGGAACAGTCACAACCATTCCAGACACTCTTGTCATTACTTTACTCCGATGACTTGATTGGATTCAGCCAGCATTGCTTTTGAATTAAATTGTATGTGTCAGTTAGTAAACAAGGAACGCTAATTAGACATGCCAAGTTTTCCATTTCTGTCGACCGCGCATGCGTGGTGACCCAACGTGATTATTTTTCTGATGACAGGCGATCTACCGGCACCGCCTTGGATCGTCCTATGGGGCACTCCCGCTCTAAATCTTTTCAATGTTTGTGTTCTGCTTGCAACTAATCTGTCTCTTCATTGCATGTTGGGTTGCTCTCACAGACACGTATTGCCACATAAAAATCCTCTTCACTTTGTCTGTGAGAGCAGCTGATTGTATCTTAACCCTTCATCTTTCCTTCTGTGTGACTTCCTTCCTCTGTTCTGCCTCCCTTCTCCGGAGCAGAATAATGTATCGCACATATAGGATGTGAGTACCTCCTTGCTCCTCGCCACTCTGTTCTTCACATGTTCACATGTTGTCGTAAGAACTCCCGTCTGGTTGTGAACTAATACTCGCCGTTCAGACTTACTCTCTGAAGCTTTGTCGAGATAGATAATATACCAGACGAATATTTGAGGTGTCCAGCTGTCACATCCTCCCCCACCATCCCTTTTGTCTTTGGTGTGGTTTACCCCTACCAGCTTTATACGGCTGCAAATAATTCCTCTTTTTGACAGTTGAATAGAAAAGTCATTTTATTTTCATCACATGCCATTTAGCTGAAGCTTTTATCCAAAGTGACTTACAATAAGTGCATTCAACTATAGGGTACAAACTCAGAAGAACAAGAAAGTGCAATTTCCTCAAATAAGCCTATTTACAATTTGCTATAGATGAGTGGCGTTATGAGTACAATTTAAGTGCTACAATGCAAATGCTGCTGAATGCAAATACTGGGTGTGTGCCCACGTAAACTACTGATTTAACGGGGGAACAAAGAAGAATCCTTAGTTTGCCGGCAGGCTCAACAGATTGTTGGTTCAATATAAATTCACAACATCTAACTAACAAGTTAAACATTTTGAAGTTACTGACCTGACAGCAGGGTAAACTATTATATCGAGGGGGTGCCCCGCCACCTGCATGCATATGTCTGTGTATGCACGCATGTGACGCTCGGACCAAGGGAGAGACAACTCCCTCATCAATCCTCAAATCCAAACAGTAGCCACGCGAAGCCTGACTCTGAACTCCCTCACTGACCTAACTATTGAATAGAATTCAATGGATTCCAGATATGACATCATATGAATTCAGTTAGTAAACAAGGGATTGATATTTCTAATATCATATAACATGAAATCATATTGGCAATATCATTAACGTAAGTTCTACCACTAGCCATGCTTTTTACTTCAAACCCGAACGCATTCCAACTAATTTTCTAGTTTTAAAGTAACATTGGGTTCATTATTGTGGTCAACATCATTGACTGTAAATGTCATACAGACGATGATGTTAGTTTTACATCAGGGCTGATCGGCTCCAGTCAAGTCCAAAGGGCAGAAATTATGCTTTTTGAAAAAGGAATTATATATACCTGTCTGCAGCGAATACACACTCCTGTTAGACCCAGGGCTATGGGATACTTATAGAATGTCACAGCAATCGTAGTCTCTCAGGACTGACTAATCATATATCTATCTTTTACGTCCATTCAGCCAAGCCCGGCAGAACGCCCAGCACAGCGAGTCCTCCCACCCCTCCATCCCCAAGGAGTTCCAGCTAGACCTGGACATGATCGAGATGGACCAGAGCAGGGTTTGTGAGCTGCCAGACCTCGTCCAACATAAGCTGGACGAGCTTTTGGAGCCGATCATGATCCCTGAACCCAGGTAAATGCCCATTCTTACTGAGGTCACTGAAGCAGATGGAAAGGACATCCATGGGGAAATGCATCTTTCATGCTTAATATTATCAGTTTATGTGTTCAAAGGATGCGTTCAGTCTCTCCACACTTTGATGACCTCCACAACAGCACGGCCTCCACCATCAACTTTGTCATCTCTCAGGTGGCTAGCGGGGACATAAACAACAGCATACAAGCACTGGCACAGGTATAAACGCATGAAGATGGGGCCCATTAAGCTTACCGTGTACTACCATTATTGAGTGTGGCCAGCGAAGCTGAGCCAAACTCCTTGTAATCTCACATATTTAATAATAATAATTATTATTAATGGCCTTATTCTCTTCCGTACAAAAGTTTGGCACGCATCTCATCCCACACAGTTTATCTGAATTGTCTCAAAATAGTCGGGACGCATCGGGAATTGTGTTCCCTATTATGGGAATTAGAGGTGCAGACGTTACGGCGGGGGGCGGGCTACGTTGGGGTGGGGAGGACATTACGGCGGGGAAGGGGGGCACTAACATGACGTTAGCTAGCCAGAGAAAATCGAGGGGCACGGACGTCACGGCAGGGGGTGGGGCTACGATACAGCCTTCACTTGCCTGCTTGGCCGTTACAGGCACCTGCGGGCAGGCTAGGCCACACTCTTAAAATGACTGCGGAATTTTCTAGTTACAATTACTATAGCTAGTAATTTATTTAAGTTTAAACATATTTAACAACATATCCTACACAAAAATAAGTAAATTAACTAATGGCCAAGACCGCAGATCGATTGAGTTTGACCATACCGACATTGAACACTCCGAGCAGGCTGTGCTTTAAACACGGAACTTTCCCTTGGGATAAAACTGCAAATAATCAAACCTGTGCATGAAGCTGTTGTAGCCTAATGTATTCATGCAATATATAGTCAGTAGTCAGGCGCGCGCCCCCCGCTAAGCTTTTATTTATTTATTTTTTACATTCAAATATTAATTTTTACATTTGAATAGTTGTTTTGAACAACTATTCGAATATATATTCAAATATAGATTATTCGTTGACCCAATTCTCACAGGATCCATTTGTTGTAAAGGTCGAAATGTTGTGCTTTGTACCCTCAGATTGACGAGGTGCTGCGGCAGGAGGACAAGGCAGAAGTCATGTCAGGACACATCGATCAGTTCCTCATTGCTACCTTCATGCAGCTCAGGCTTATCTACAGCACACACATGGCTGATGAGCGGGTGGACAAGAAAGACATCGTCAAACTATACAGCTGCATCATAGGAAACATGCTCTCAGTGAGTCCCATTTGATAAAAGGAAACGTTAATAACAAGGTTCCTGCTGTTGTTGATGATAACAAGGAGACATTTCTTTCTATCAGTTGTTCTCTATGGAGTCCCTGGCCCGAGAGGCCTCTTTGGGTGTGTTGAAGGACCTGATGCATGGTGTGATCACACTCATGCTAGATGGCAGAATGGAGGATATAGAAGACGGACAGCAGATTATCAGAACACTCAACCTGCTGGTGACCAGAGTTCTTGTAAAGTCTGACCAGACCAACATGATTAGGTTAGTGTGCACATATTCCTGTACCCTGCTTGTGTTCATTTGATAAGTGCCATATACAACTCTTGGTATTTTGGGACTGTGAAGGAAGAGCGGATTGGTTGGAACCAAACTGGAACCAAATATCTTTAAATCCCCTGTGTTTTGATAGAGCTGTGAATTCCCACCGCTTCTGGGATACTGATTTTATATGTACGTTAATCAATGATTGGACCTGTCGTTCCTAATTTGGAATTGTGTCATGAATTTGAATGAATTTGTCAATTCAAAAGATGGTTTTGCTATAAAAACTGTCAAATCTGTAGTGACTAGCTACACACCCAAGAGAGACATATCTGATGCTTAGACGGCTCACAGATGGAAATCATGGAAGTCATGGAATTTTAAAATGGTCATTTCCAGGCTTGGAAAAGTCATGGGGGGAAAAAAATCTTGAAATAGTTAATATGGTTTGAGATGCTCAAAATGCAAGCAGGAGCTCTCATACACTCAAAAAGTGCCAAATAATTGTCTCCGCGTTTGTGTGAACACACCTTAACTGAAAAGTTCGGTGGCCGTAAAAGCAGTAGCTCGGGAATCATCCACTGTGCCAGGGAATTATAGATTTAACCGTGGTTGGCTACATATAGAAAAGTGCATGCCATGCATTACGACAAACAAAGACCCGTGACGAGCGGAAAGTAATATGGAGGCATAACATTAGATGTTTCCAACATGGGAGAGTGGTCTTACGGGCCGTGCTAAAGGAAGCAGACATCAGTGCGCCGCCGCTGCTAGCGAAGCTACTACAGGAACCCCATCAGAGGGGACTGCTAGCGAAGCTACACGTCGAGCAGCACGTCTCTCACTTCGGCTACCGGCTCCGTACGCAACACCGACATTTTCCCACGAGCTTTGCCCGTCTGCTGGTGGCAGCTCCAAATTGTAAATCGATGGCGTAGCGGCGATCCTTCGGTGTTTGTCATTGAGCCGTATTAAGCTGCAGACACATGACTTTTTAAGGCTGGCGCATGCTTCTGCGTCTTTACGCGCAGTCGTGTCTACGCACTTGTTTCAATTCATGGTTCAAAAAGGCTTGCGCGTGTTGCAAAGTAATTCGCGCGTCCTTGTAGTCCGCCAATGACGGGTTGTAGAAGCAGTCATATTTACGCATTTCTTCCGACAAAAGTTCTTCAATATGATTCATTCTCTCGTAAAAAATCTCCGTTTTAATAATGGCAGTATTGTGTTATGATACCAGAAATGGAGGCTGCGTAGCTTTTGACGCTAGTCTAGAAAAATGGGTCGATGCACGCAAGAAGGTGTAAAAAGACACGCAAGGGGCTCTTGTGTCTGCGTGTCCTTGCATCTCTCTGAAAACGCAGAAGCATAAACTATGATTTACGCGTGATTATTGTAGTTTTGTCTTTATTTTACGCAGCAAAGCTTATCTTACTATACAATTTAATATTTTTTTTCACACGGTAGATAAACGGTATGCTCTCGTGCCTCATGCAGCTCATCTGTGTTGCACCTGTTGCATTCATGACGTCAATGCATCAGGACACACGAAGGGCGCCAATCCAACATAAATGCTTTCAATATGTTACATATCTTTAGTTCCTGCACAATAAGCATAGATTAAATGATTGATTATTCCCAAATGAAAAAATCCCAATGAAGTAATGCATTTTCCGTCTCTTCGAGACTGTACGTATACTGTAAACTGTTTCATATATTGTCCATAATTTGAAGTAAAAAAAAAAAGTGAAAAAAAAGTATTGGTTCAGGCACCGGTATGTTTTAAAAGTCTTGATTTAGCACTGGTATCAGGAAAACCCCAAACGATACTCATCCATAGTGGATAATTGTATTATGGCATTGCCTTTCTTGGGGCCTAATACTGTATGCCTTCTCATTGTTAGTTTAAATACTACATTTTCTCACTTTCATGTATACACTGAGATTTCACAAAATATTTCGTCATGGAAATCCATTGGTCAAAATTTGTATGAACCCTGGAAAATAAACACAAGATCGAAGAATCTGCGTGCAACACATATTGGCTTGCTAGCAAATTAGGCCAGGAGTAAAAACAAAGTATTTAACAACTATAAATTGTTAGGGGTGGGAATCTCTTGGCACCTCACAATTCGATTCCGATTCAGAGGTCTTCGATTCTAAACCGATTATCGATTCTAAACTGATAAAGCGATTATCGATGCATCTCGATTTTCTAAATTTTCTCAAATCTGAGTTTGCTACACAGAGGTTGCTAATCACTTCCTACTTTATTTGATAATAAAAGAAAATCAACAGATGAATTACCTTCTCAAATTTTTTATAAGAGAAAAAAAAATCTGTCACAAATATGATTTTCTATTAACAATGCAAAAACCAATGCAGCTTGCATTTCAACACAATATGGAAGTAGCCTATGTAAAAAAAAAAAAAAATATTAAACAGATTCATTTTTCTTTTAAATGAAGAAAAAGCTGCTCTTAGTCTCAGACCGGTCCGTATTTGTAAAATACCGGAAAAAAGTCCAAATCTGTGAATATCTTGCCAACAATACGGATCGACTTTTTGGAAAATCAAAATAATGAGGTAAGATATGCGCAGGCTCCTTCATAGTTCGGTAAAGTTGGCAAGATATTCAGACTGACTGACCGATCTGCGAGCTGGACACATTGCTCTTAATGTGCCGGTAATCATTGTAAATGATGGTTATAACTGGTTGTCATTTACGGTCCACTACGATTACCGAAGGGGGGCGTTTGTTTTTTGACAACGTTTTATCTCATAATTTTGACTTTCTTTCCCCTTTCTGTAGTGCGGAAATGGGCTTCTATAGTTGTGTGAATGCATCACTCCAGCAATCCAAAGACGGGGTTTGTAACCAATCAGATGTAGATACCATGGTGACTGGCTCCGCCCCCTTACTGTCAAAAAGAAAAACAGCGAGCGCGTAGAAAACACCTTCGAGCGCGAGCAGAGACTAAGTTTACGTTTCGCAAGCGAGCAAAAATGTCGCGCGAGACAAATATCTCAGGGTTTTTAAAAAAAATAATTATTCCGATTATTAACTTTTCTGAATCGAGACCGAATCGTTCTAGAGAGAATCGAGAGAAATCGAAAAATCGAATTTGCTAACTGTGTGATTCATGGTCTAATTTAAACCGGGGCAAATGACATTCTCCTGCCGTTGACCAGCCTACATCCATATAATTGGCCTCTCCATATAATTGCGTACGGTACAGAATTAATGAAACCTTTTAAAGTAAGAGATTGTTATGTTTGTTGGACAATATTAGAATTGATTCCCAGGGGGACATGGTGTGTAAAAACAAAATAAAAATCCACATGGTTTTTAACTCTTGCCTCCTGTCTCTACAGTGCTCTGCTGGTTTTGCTTCAGGACAGTTTAGCCACAGCAGCCCCCCCATTGTTTTGTGAGCTGGTGATTAAGGTAAGTAGTGTCTCCACGTCCTCACACTGAGCCTTTTGTCTGTTCACTGACACTTTGCTGTGTCTTCAGTGTCTATGGAGGATGATCCGCTTTCTGCCAGAGACAATTGACAGCATCAACCTGGATCGGATATTACTGGATGTCCACACCTTCATGAAGATTTTCCCCAAAGAGAAACTCAAGCAGCTCAAGAGTGATGTCCCACACAGAACCCTCAAGACTCTGTTACACACACTTTGCAAGCTCAGAGGGGCTGAGGTAACACTATTGCACTGTATTTCTGAGGTTATTCTTCTTTTTTTAGACTTGTTGAGTTTTCTACTTTTGTATCAATGTATCAACAGATCCTGGACCACCTATCAATGATCGAGAACCGTAATGAGTCTGAGTTGGAGGCCCATCTGAGGCGGTCTGTCAAACACAATGGAAATCTCTCTGGACTCAAGAGTGACCGTGGTAACGAGAAGACTGGTCTGTGTACGGTGAGTAGGGCTGGTTGAAATAATAGATTCTCAGATGCATTGCAAAGCCTTCATCAAATATTCAAACTCATCCCTCAACGTTTTGATGGGTTGTAACAATTCTGTGATCCTGGGCTTTCAGTTACTTACCGCTGCCCCTGAACGCCACTGTCTAGCTTAAATTCAAAGATAGGCTAAATACAAGCAGAGCTTTCAGAGCAGCTGAGCTTGAGCAGCTGAACATGGGTACGATATGACCAGCACTACCTAACATATACACCGTATTTATGGCCCTCCTCCTTCATCTTTTATATTCATCAAAAAATGTTGATCAATTGAACAATTGAGTGTAATTTGATTTCTGCTCTCCAAAAAGAATTGTGGGAACCTCCCCTAGTTGTGAACTAGACATACCAAATACACAACACACACTTGGGATCCGTGGTTTTGGTCAAATATTTACGCAAACTCTTTTGTGTTTTGTTCCCAGGAGGATCGGATGTCAAAGGCCAAGGTCAGTGACATTCTGACGGAAATCTTCAAGAAGATCGGCTCCAAAGAGAACACAAAAGAGGTTAGCCTTTCGTCAAATCATTCCAGGTGTTAAAGGGAATGTTTCTACAGCAGCTGACTTGTTAAAACCGAAGGATTATTATGGAAAACGTGCTGAGAAAACATTGAATGTCTCTGATCTTCTCTCCAGGGTTTGACTGAGTTGTACGAGTACAAACAGAAGTATTCCGACGCAGATCTGGAGCCTTTCCTCAAAAACACATCCCAGTTCTTCCAGAGCTACGTAGAGCGAGGGCTTCGCTTAATTGAGTCTGAGAGGGAGGGCAAGGCTCGCATCCAGACATCAGCAGGTAAAATTGTTAGCTGCGTTCGGCTCTTTTGTCAGATGGAAGCCTGCCCTGTATAGTAACGTGAGTGCCTCTCCTCAGTGATCCCTCAGCATGGCGTGGACTTTAGTCTAAGCAGCAGCAATGAAGAGCTGAAACCAGCCGTTTACTACGAGAGACTCAAGATCCTTAGACAGAGGCAAGGTCTAGAGAACAACTCAAAGGTCAGCATACCCACCACACATCTCGATGAAGACACTCTGGGAACACACACACACACACACACACACACACACACACACACACACACGTGTGTGTGTCCCCTACCTGTATGACAGTTAAAACAAGGTGGAGAAAGCTTTTTTCATTTACTCCACTTGTCAAACAGATTTTTTTTAATCTATATATGCACACTAAAAAGTAGTTGGATGTTTGTTTGTTTTTTGTTGGATGTTTTTTTTCCACACCGGTGGACCAGGTGATGGTTCTGCATTTGTGCTCGAGAGGAGCTGACCCGTGTGTGTGTATGCTCTCTCTCTCCTGCAGCAGGGCGTCGGTGGCAGCGAGGACGAGCCTCAGCAGAGACCTCCCATATCCTCCCTGCTGTCGTCCAAGCCGCCTGTGGCCTCGTCCACCGACATGCTCCACAGTAAGCTGTCTCAGCTCAAGGAGTCCAGAGAGCTGTACCAGCAGGAACACAACACACACTCCCATTCCCCGACACACGCACACACCCGCTCTGCCTCCCCGGCAGCCAACCTCGACGACCTGAAGAAACGTTTGGAGAGGATAAAAAGCAACCGGCAGTAAGAAACCCCATGACACCCCCCTCATCCCATCTCCCAGCTGCTGCTAGAAATATTCATGTTCTGGTGGATTGAAATAGGAAGTGGTTCAACAAAACACACCCTCAAGTTTGAACTTGAACCCACTCCACCCACTGTGCCTGTAAGTTATTAGACATCAAACGCACCCTTATCTGATATGTGTGATGTAGGTGAGTAAGTTCATAGTGATATTTTTAGCCCCTGCACACACCGATAAACTATCGAAAAGTTATGTACTATTGGAACTTCTGTCTCTCAATGAGCTTTGATGTTGTGTACAGGATCACATAGTCTGCTGTACAGTGTTAGAACGTCCTTCTGTCCCGTCCCAGCTTTCTCTTTCAGGGTGCCTCCCACCCTTCACTCTCCCATGTACACTTTTTACTCTGATTATCAAACGGTAAAGTATCCCTTCTCTCTGTTTCAGTATGCATATTATGTGTATGAGTTAAATGGTTACAACATTTTGAATATGTACAAAGCTGTCATGTGGTTCCAGGACAAAACCAATCTAAATAAGTGTTTCTTCCTGATTGACCATTGATGTTCAATGTCACAGCTGCTGGATTTGGGAGGAGAGATGCTTGTGACCATCCCCACTTGTCTCTGAAAATACAGCATGTTACTGCCCGCTTGTGGCTGAATGCTGTCTTAGCATCACTTCTCTCAATTCCACAATTCTCAGTACTGTTGGATTTCTTGAAATCTTGAGGCTTTTGTCAAAAAACTGGCTTCTATCAATTGCAGGTATTTGTCCTGCCACAAAATAAGTTGAGATGAGTTTCCACAGTGACATGAAGCTGTCTGATGCCATTGAACGGGCTGGATGCCACAGCTATATGCATGCAGGTGCAGTGTGCTTTAAGCGTGGGGTTAGTTTGGGAGTTTGTCCAGTTTGAGCCCTCAAGTACTCACTATTTTAAAGTTTGTGCTTTACAAAACGCTTCTGATTTAAAAGGGCCAAATGTTATCAGATGGTTCACTCAGGCAAACTGTAGTGAGCTGACTTGGCAGTTCTGGGTCAAGTAGTGCTGCTGGTGTTCTGGAGAGCATTGTTGCTTTACAGCTAAATGAGACTGAGAATGTGTGGCCAAGCAGAGCTGTAAATACTGTCCTGCACTAATTTCCCTTCATTTATCGAACACGTGTATACGCCTGAACAGTACGGCATGAAGTCAGTGATTGTTTTTAATTTATCATGTAATAAATAACCTTTCCATTAACAAACCAGTTGTTTAATAAGTTTTCTGCTGAAAATGGCCTTGTCAGTTATCTTAAGGAAGGAAGCAAAGAAACTCATAAGTTTTTTTTTTTAGTTTTTTTTTTATGTTGGTACATTGTTGCTCACCTTGTATAATCCATAGTATAATATGCCAATAAAGTTTTTTTTTTTTTTTCAACAATCAAGCTTTGAGTTGGCAGCTGTTACGGTGTTCTGGTTTGACGACCCTGCTAATTGGTGGCTGCTATTCTTTTTTTCGTTTTGTTTTTTGTTTCTACATGTTAATCATTGTGGCCACTCCTGGCTCACATCTGCCTCATGCACCTGGCACCAATATCCAGGCTGGAGAACGGGAGCTGTGACCCTGCCCTATCTCATTACACATCGACGCGTGCAGTTGCTGGGAGACACAGCAAATCTCCTGAACATGGACTGTTACTCTAGGAGAACCAACACACATTTATAACAAATGCACAACGACCAGCTGACATTACCGGGGGCGCTGCGCTGTTAACTGCAGCTCGTCTGCCCGCATCCGCCCGAAGTTATTAGCGAAAAATCACTTTAATGCCGTAACTTTCAAACTATAGAGGTTGTGTTGGGGTGTTCGAAGGCCCTCGAGGAGAATCACACTTCTTTGTGGTGCCGGCCGGAAACGATGAATCAAAAGTCAACTGGCTCGAATTTAAAAATCTAAGTATTTAATAACTAAACTAAGTGATAAGTAATACAATTACGACGTGAAATACAATGTGAATAGTAAAATATTTTGCGTAACAGAAAATTATCAGGCCAAGTCTAATGCGACTTATCAAAGCGACTGCAGGAAAATTCTCCAGTTTTAGTCCTTTGAAAACTCCCGTGGTGTGTCTCTTGGGTGAGTTTGAATGTTTTTGGCTTCTTCAAAGGTGTCTCCTGGTTTGTCCCCTTCACATCCATGTGTGAGTCTGCTAGTGATGACTCGAAAGCAACGAGTCCTCTCAAAAAGAGATTAAGAATCAACCCTTTCTTTTCACTGTATTTAAGATTGGATGTAAAACCATTGACGCCAGAGAAAAAGATTGAAAAAAAGTATATAAATATAGTTGAGTCAACTATATTCAAGTTGTATATTTTCATTTGATGTCTTCCTGCTGCATACAAATTGCCCTTCTGGAACAAAGAATAAACTGAACTGACTTCTTATCCATTATGGGCTTAGTAGGAATTTCCATACAATTTACAGTGACAGTCTCATCAGCAGCAGAAGCCCCTTCCCATACTGCAGAAGCTCCTACCCCCTGCCATATTGAATAGAATTTGTAATGACCGGATGTGCCAAGCCATGTGTTTTTAATGAATAATAATCACTGGATCTTCGTCTGGTGGCAGGGGAGTAACTGTGTCGCCACTACAAGGCAAAACAATGTCTGGAGCTGGTGCCCCTTCTCAATGCCAGCCAAATGAGACTTCTTCTTAACTGCTAAATCATAAATGGACTGTACTTGTATAGCGCTTTTCTAGTCTTCTGACCACTCAAAGCACTTTAACACGACATGACATTCACACACTGATGACAGGAGAACCATAGACAGTGACACCTGCCCATCAGTAACTAACATTCATACACTGTAGTCGCAGCTACAGGAGCAATGTTGGGTTAAGTGTCTTGCCCAAGGACACATCGACATGCAGGTCAGCAGAGCCTGGGATCGAAACCACAACCCTCTGATTGGAGGACGACCGTGCTCCCCACTCACCCACAGTCAGAATATGTGAGCAGCCATCTTGTAAGTCATTTCTACGTACCATTTGCAAACTGTTAAGGCACTTACTAATGTGCAAAATGTTTTTATATTTTATTTTATTTTAAAAAGCAACAGGTCATTTTTATTCTGTATGAAAATTAATTAAAGATATTTAGAATTAGACACCACCACCATATTCTCCAGAGGAACATTAATTCCCTCTAACATTTAAGGCAAAGTATGCTAAATAAGACATTTTATTTATATAGTGCATTACATGGTAGGCTACTCAAAGACAGTAAAAACAGCACAATTAGCACATAAACACAGATACAGCAATAAAACCAACTACAACAACAACCATACAACTTTCCTAGTAAGTAGATATTTGTAAATCCTTGCGCATTCAGTCGGTCTGTAATTGCCTGCCAGGCTTTTTCTCTCTCTGTTTAATTACAGCTGCCGTATTTCCTTTTTGGCATATTATATGCTTTCACCTCCTCATACATTTCCATGATTAGTTGAAATCATAAATTAGGTGAAAAATATGCCCCGCTTTTCTATTTCTGCATCAGTATATCTGTGATCAATACTGTGGTCTATTTAAGAAAGCCGCGGACGTGCCAACTGCGTACACCTAGATTGACACAGCTTCACCTTCTCATACTGGCTCGTGCAACCGATTTAGCCGCGCTGAGCGGATCACACTAAGTCAAGCTGGGCTTTTTCAGTTATCCTGGCTTTCTTTATTCTACTTTAGTGCAATAGCCCCCAGCTGTGGAAGAACAAAGACACAAACCTGTATTCAGTGGTGACTTGCTAAGCTCATGTTCCCTGGCAGGTTCTAGGCGTGTCCCGGTGCATGAATTGAAATATTGTTACACCTTCTGTCAGGTCACACCAGAACAAACACATTATAATCTGAAATCATTACAGTGGTTTACTTTCATAGTGTTGCCTTTATAAAATCATCCACAATTTAACGTCAAAAACAAGATTTAATGATCTGTTGAGCTGTCGAATTATGCTTCCACTTGGAATAATATACTGTTAAACCTTAACGTGCAGTAAATTCAAGTTTTTTTTAAAGGCAATCTGCGGTTGCTCAGGTAACCAAAGCATCAACTCTCCACACAGCGACGAGGCTGTAATCCAGAATTAAATTACCAGTCTATAATGTTTAATCCAAATAAGACACTGAGTTCATGGAGCATGACACTAAATATCAACACAATATGATCATTGCCAAGATGTATTTGAGAAAGTATAAAGAATAAACATATGAAGAGTTTAAGACATTTCAAGCTACAACTACCTAAAATATCTCTAAAATAATATCCTTTGTTTACTGTATATTGATACACTGGACTACAGCGAGTCGTATAAACATCACTGTACAGGCATATGGATCAGAGGGTAAAAGGCAGAATAGAAAACTATGTACAGAGCCGCTTCAAGCACTTGTGGTATTTGCCTCCATTCACTAGTTCTTGTTGAGTTATTCTTTGCAGCTGACGGGATATTTTCAGAGGAAGCTGCTGTTTGAAAAAGAAAAAAGGAGTCTGACCAGTCCTATGACACAGTGATCTCTTCACTGTCTGACCCCGAGAGTTCCGACAGTTTGCCAGATAGAGATGTCAGGTGCTGGTGAAGACGTGACTCATGGCTCTCTCGCCTTTGGCAGTGGGTGCCGCCTACATCAGTGAGGTCCGGGTGGGGATTGGTTTTGGTGGGGAGGGTCTGCTGTCGACAGCCACCTGTCGAAAGCAGCTCCCTCTCTTTGGAATTCCTCCATTTCATCCTGCGGTTCTGAAACCAGATCTTCACCTACGCAGAAAAAATAACACGGTGTGAATGTCACTGACCTCGTTCACAGCTCACCAAGTTTTTAATACCGAATATGAGAGCAAAGGGACATGAACAACTTTTCTCGTAAACTAAAGGGATATTCAACAATCGAAGAGACATGACCAAACTGCACTGTACCTGGGAATCTTTAAGTCCTAGTTTACTGGCCAGTTTCTTCCTGTCTGGTTTGCTGATGTATTTCTGCCTCTGGAAAGTTCTCTCCAGGGCCTTCCTCTGGAGGTCTGAGAACACAGCCCGCCTCAGCATGCCCCTCTTGGGCTTTCCTCTGGGGGCTAAGGGCCATGAAAAAGTTCCCGGGACAGGAACCACAGAGGACAAAGCTGGAGGGACAAAAAAGATTCATACGCCGTCCTTGTTTGTAAACATTGCATTATAGTTTTCATTGTCCATTCTGCAACTGGCTAGTGGCGAAATAAAAATGAATGAATTTCAGTAAAACCCTTGGTGCCACTGCAGCCAACCTTTGGGAGAAATGGGATATGTCCTACAAAACATACCCCATTTCTTCATGACAGAACAACGGCTGACATGAAGAAAGAAGAAATTATATATTTGATTAGGTTTATAAGTCATGGGCCTGGGTTATTAACATTACATTTACGATTTAAGGTGATCCTAACTGCATACATTAGAATACATTGTATGTCTTAGAATAAATTGTATCAATTTATCTGTAGTTGTTTCTGTATCCACTGCTAAAGGTAACATAGTTTAATTTTAAAAATACTTTTAATTTGATTAATTATCAATTATTTGCATAATCAGTGTCATTATATTTTGGTCTTCTCGTGGAGCAGGTTTCTTAGCATCTTGACGAGACTGTTTCCAGGTTCATTCTTATCATTCTTTGAAATATTTGGCCATAATATATTTGTTCTGCCCGAAATGTGGCGCTAAAAAGCCCCAACGTGTCCAACAGTGGAAACAGAGCCTATGGTAATGGGACAGTCTCTCCAAAGCGCAGCCCATACTGCCTTTAATGAGGCATGAAGGAGGATTGTATAGGCTGCAAATGCAGAGAAAAGGGATTGTGTTGTAATGAACTGAGGGCCGTCGACACTACGGGCCCATTAAAGACAGGAGAGTATATTACAGGCCCATTAAAGCCAGCCCAAAACAGTGTAGAATGATTCAGTGATTTTCCTAAACAAACTTCACATTGCTGCCACACAAGTCTAAACTGATCCTAGATTGCGCCGAAACACGTACGGTTATAATAATCCAGTGTCTGCGGTAACTTTTGACGTGAACCAACGAGTGGACGAAAAGAAGGGAAATGAAGACACTGTAGAGATCTTAACGCTGATTGGCCATGACTCAGACATGTCACATATTTTATTGCAAAGATCGCGTCACCTTTTCATCTATCTCAGAAACGCTGGCCGCCAATTGAACCCCACCACCAAAAAGAACCTCTTCGAAACTACATAATTCATGTTGATGACATATTTTGATTTAAAAATAATGAATGTTCCATTAAAAACAGGCCCATTAAAGACAGTCCAGTATAGGCCTTAAAGAAGAGCCAATAGATTGACACCGCTTAGGGATCTTCCCTGTGCTGCTATCAAACCATTTCCCTTTA